GTATTTTGGGGACAATGGTATGAATGTTTGGGGGGTGATAGACAGGTCAGCAGGTTGACTAACTAAACAGAAACGCTGAAGGTGAGCAAACTTTTTTTTGTAAAAACAGAAAATTTTTGAAGTTTGCAATTCAAACATTTTGACTGCATGCTCATTGATTGAGGAAATATTTATTTTGCTCTGCCATATTTCTCACCTTTACCAGTGTTTCCTGTATTATGAAACCTTTTTCATGATGTTGTTTTCTTTTTGTGTAACTAGTAATGCTTCACGTATTATGTATATTGATTATATGCCTGGGACCTACCCTTTGTCCACTGCACCCTCTTTCCTCCTCCTTTTTATTCTACCTTTTTTTTTCTTCTTCTCGAATTGGATTAAAGTGTTCTCACCTTATCCAACTTTTGCTGTTATGTTTTTCCTTAAAGGACCACTATAGTGCCAGGAAAACATACTCGTTTTCCTGGCACTATAGTGCTCTGAGGGTGCCCCCACCCTCAGGATCCCTCTCCCGCCCGGCTCTGGGGAGAGGAAAGGGTTAAAACTTACCTTTTTTCCCTCGTCGGGTGGGGAGCTCTCTTCCTCCTCTCCTCCTCCTCTCCTCCCTTTCGGCTGAATGCGCACTCGCTGCAAGAACTGCGCGCGCATTCAGCCGGTCTCATAGGAAAGCATTTACATTGCTTTCCTATGGACGCTTGCGTATTCTCACTGTGATTTTCACAGTGAGAATCATGCAAGCGCCTCTAGCGGCTGTCAATGAGACAGCCATTAGAGGATTTGGAGGCTGGATTAACCCTATTATAAACATAGCCATTTCTCAGAAACGGCTATGTTTATTTTAAAAATGGTTAATCCTAGAGGGACCTTGCACCCAGACCACTTCATTAAACTGAAGTGGTCTGGGTGCCTAGAGTGGTTCTTTAACAAAATGGTCCTTTTTATTATTTTTGATAATTATGTAGTGCCACCTTATTGCGCAGCCTTTTAGAGTATTCTAAAAAGGGGACAGTTAACAACAAATGAGACGATTACAAAATGTTACAGGAACAATAGGTTTTTGAGAACCGTGCTCAAACGAGCTTACAGTCTAGAGGAGGTGGGGTATAAAACACCATCGGAAGGGCATGGCGAGTCATAGCAACCAAATAAAAACGTGGGAATGTAGCAGAACTGGAGTGGAGTGTGGCCCTTTAGGAGAGAGAAAGGACAGGACAGGTTTGTGAAATGGAAGTTATTCTGGGAGGCAGTAAGCTTTTTCTGAGCTGATGGATTTTGAGGTACTTAAAACCTTATGCAATATTGTTATATTGTTTAATTTATATATACATTGGCATGTGTTTTTATGGGGTTTGTTTTAATAGAACAAAAACATATGTCTGGGCACACCCAATGGTTTCTTAATAACAGACAGTCTTGTATTTAAAGAGGAAAAGACAACGTTTAGGCACTATCCTGTGACTTTCTCGTCTGTGTTTATTTTATTTTTTCTATTTCTTTTAATACATTTTCTTTAAAATAAAGTAATTTTTACCTAATAGTTTTCCTTAATGTAACATGAAGGACTTTTGTCTTTATGCAGGAGCACTTGGAAACTGCAACTTCTTGTTTGGATATTATTTTCTGGAAAATTAAGCATGACAAACTATAATAAATGAACTGAAGTGGCATAAATTGAGGCCAATATAATGTATCTGCAAAAATTGCTGATTTGGAAAATGTTTTGGTCTAAATTTGGCAATTTCAGTCTCACATGATCGTTATGTAGGATCAGTGTACATTTTGAATCAGGCAGCTTTGTATACAGCAAGCAAGATAACCCCAAAATCAAATTTAAAAAAAACCTGTATCCGAGAAATGGCATAGAGGGACTGGTCAAGGTCGTACAGCCCAAGTAGCTCTCAAAACAAGTCACAAATGCTTGCTTTACATTATGTACACACTGTCAATGGCACAGTCTCTACAACAGGTTCAGTGCTATCAGCTCAACATGGTCACAACAAGGCAGCCAGGAATGGTTGTCTGGATTCAAACAATTTTAACTACGGCAAATTTTATAGCGGATAAATGTTTTTTTATTGGCTGCCCGGAATTTGTTAGGTTTCAAAGAGACTCTCTCTAAGATTGTGTGGACTTCAAAAACAAAGACAAAATAAAAAATATATATATTTTCATTTCATGACCATTAATTTCAGTGGGAGAGCTATGGATATAAGCTCCAGCTCCGTTTTGGTTTATGGGATAAATAGTTGAACCCTTAGCAGCAAACTGGAATGGAACTGATAAGAGAAGAGAAGTAAGTATTTGTATAGAATGCTCTCGTCCATCAGGCTCACAACATTTAAGTACATGCATGAGGCTTCCTTGTGTGATGCATTTCAGTAAAGAGGTGGCAAGCTGATCACCTCTGCAGTTTTTGCAGATTACTGCCCTTATAAGTAGCTAGGAGAAGGAAGACAAGAATAAGAACCTTTGTATCATAACCTCTCCTAGATGCATAGTTTTTATAGTATCTGTAGTGTTTTTATTTATTCATCATTATCACTGTATGTGGCACACAGTGTGCAGTGGGGTGGCAGACCTGCTGAATCTGGGACAGTTTTGGGCTACGCGAGAATATCATTTTCATAAAACAAGCCAATATTCAATCATAGAAGGATGTCTATTTTTATACATAAAACTATTTACTTTTTTTTAAATTAATTTTTGTTTTTTTCCAGTGACTAAATTACAAATACAAAGCACTTTTGTCTGCCACACTTTGCTTCTTGTAATAACCCAACATACACAGACATGTTGTTTTCATGATTTTTATTTCCAGCCCACATTTAATATTCATAAACGTTCTATTTAGATCATATTCGAAGTAATATGTCTTTGCATGACACAGCTGAAAGCAGAACAAATAAATGAATGGCAGGAGGTGTGCACTGGCTGTACTTATGCACACGGATTTAGTAGCATACACAGACTCAGGTTATTAAACACTTGCTATGTGTATAAGAGACTGCCCTGTACTCATTCACCTGGAGAGCAGTGTGCAAAGCCAATCTGGGTGGAGTGCTAGAAATGTAAATCGTACAGTAGAATTTGAATATTGTGCAGGTGTAAACAGTGGAGTGCAGACCTTTCCAAGTCTATATAAGCATGTAACTGTGCTCTAGTCACGGGAATCACAGGAGACGCTCAGCTGAATTAAACAATCTCCCAGAATTCTTTAGAACAGAGAATATCTTTAAAAAAAAAAAAAATTATTATTATTATTTCAAGTTAATGTAGTTCTTTATTATTGGTCAGAATTAATATACTGATAACAGTGATGGCTATGGATCACAGGGAAAACAAAATAGAAAAAAAAGACACGTCTTATACAGAAGACGATAATGTAAGACTTATATCTTATCGAAAGTTGCATGATGAGCCACCAAGGCTATGTGCAGCTCAGGACAAATCTGGAAAGGTATTAAGGGGAGACCCTTGTATAAGGATCGGCAAATCTGAAGAACTTGATCAACAGGTACGTGTGTTTGTGTTTTACTGGAAAAGAAAATATTTTATTGATTAAACTGTAAGCTATGGCGAATTGATATCCAAGATGCAAAATGTAGGCTGGGAAAAAATTGTAATTTTTTTTTTTTTTCAAAATTACTATTTTGACTTAAATTTACATTCATGTACATTTTGCAATTACTCCACATCAGTCAATAATTAAAGAATTGACGTGATGTTGAAATGACTATTATCATTATGTTCATATTTTCATAATTGTTCTTTTTAGCAAAGATGTTTTTATTTTTCAGTAAATGATTTCCAGTTTTGGGCTAGTTGGTTGCTTTTATTATTTATTACATATATAATATCATACAGATAATATATTAATTTGACTTATTCGTGTATGTAGAAATATTGTGGGTTCATCAAAAAGGAAACTGTTTATATTTATTGTTCTATACCACCCTGGTAAGTCATATTTCCCGATAGAATGAAAGCATATCAGTTTCTCCTGTAAGTGGTAGGAGTGTGAGAGTAATAAATGCAATAATATTTATCATGCACATTCTGAGCAAAGACAATGTATTTCATTGTTAAAAAAAAAAAAGGCAGTATCTGTGTTCAAAACACGTACATTATAAGAGGTTTTTAGTTTTTGGGTGCTTAGAATGTCCCTTTTAATTTGGAAACAACAACAGACAGAAATATAAGCCAAACTACATGTGTACTAATAGAGAGGTAGAATAAAGAGGAAGGAGGCATGTTTGGTATCAAAATCAAGATGAAAATCTCTGCCTGGAAGCGGTTTCTATGCCGGGGATCACACTAGAAGTATCGGCATGTCCATTTGATGGTACCTGAATGAGAGAAAATGAAATGTTATCGATGTAGCTGTCTCATTGCTAGAATGGTGTTTGCTAATCATTTGTTTTATTGTTTATACTTAGACTATGGAAGGAGTAAGATCCATGAGTGAAACTATAGTTTCGATAATTATTTGGTAGATGAGGGCCGTTGACCGGCATCCAAATGGGTCGTATTTTGGGTTACGACCACCAGATATGTAAACAATAATAACCCATGTTGTTAGCATCATAAGTCTGATTGTTGGTTACCTTACAGTCCCAAAGATCCAGGGGATAGTCAACATTTTGCTCTATAAGAAGTGCTAACTTCTTTTGAATTGTAGGAAGTCAGCTTTTAGTTTTAACCAAGGCTTTTACACCTATGCTGTTTACAAGGTAATTGACCAATGGGTGCTTAATCCTAAGACTCATAGACATGCATATATATCCATCCATCCACACATGCACATAAAACACAAATGTTTCAGTATCAAAACAAATGCCAACCCCCGTCAACTCTCTAATTTAATTTGACATAATTATTATGTTCAATTTACATATGTGTATTCAGTTTTAATTGCCCATAAGAATTACTTAGACAATTCTTTTTATATTTACCGAATGTATGTGCACGTAGGTAGACAAAGAGTTTTAAGGGAAAATCATCATGGAAAAATTGATATCATGTATTATATGTTAATGTATGCATCTTTGCAAAGTTTTAATTACCATAGTCACTTAATTTGAAATAGGTTATAGTGCCAATTAATTCTCCTTTCTCCAGTGTGAGTCAGTGCATTCCCTGAATTTTCTACAAACAGTAGTTGGCCTTTCTCACTGTTTGAGTTACTGCCTGCACTCTTCTAATGAATTCTAAGCATACACTGCTTAGAATTTTTGCTTCCGGTAAAAATGTATTTTCTGTGATGTCACCAAGACTCATGGCCAACTTTGTAAAGCGTTTCAAGTTTTAATTTATAGAAAGTTCCCCTTTAAAGGACCACTATAGTACCAGGAAAATATACTTGTTTTCCTGGCACTATAGTGCCCTGAGGGTGCCCCCACCCTCAGGGTCCCCCTCCTGCCGGGCTCTAGGGGGAAGAAGGGGTTAAACTTACCTCTTTCTCCAGCGCTGGACGGGGAGCTCTCCTCCTCCTCTCCGCCTCCTCTCCTCCTCCCCGGCTGAATGCGCATGCGCGGCAAGAGCTGCGCACCCATTCAGCCAGTCTCATAGGAAAGCATTCTCAATCAAAAAAAAAATCACAGTGAGAAGCACGCAAGCGCCTCTGGCGGCTGTCAATGAGACAGCCACTAGAGGCTGGATTAACCCATTTATAAACATAGCAGTTTCTCTGAAACTGCTACGTTTATAGAAAAAAGGGTTAACCCTAGCTGGACCTGGCACCCACACCACTTCATTAAGCTGAAATGGTCTGGGTGCCTATAGTGGTCCTTTAAGTAAATATCATGACTGTGGAATAAGAAAACATTATTTATACCTGGCTGATTCCCCACCTCTGGTTAAAGTTTATGGGAAAATCGCTGAATATAAGAAAATAAAATTTGATACATAACTAATCTGTCATTGTGAAATCCAGATCTCAGTATGTTGCAATAAGATCATAAGGTCTTTAGTGTGAAACCGCACTAAGGATTTGGGAGATTAAAAATGTAATTTGATGACAATAAAGTGGGGTTCTTCTAAATGTCCCCAGCAACCATGGTTGCAGATTTCATTATATAGGACATGAACAGTATGTGGATTTTTCTTCTATATATTTTTCCTTTGGATGTTTATAATGTGTTTTCAATAAAACTAAGAACTGAGTTCAATGAGAACTGAGTAAAATAAAAGAATATAATTTTTTTTTTCATTGTTCCTATTAGGATATATTTATTTTTCTGCTCAATGCCAGATGCATTATTTGTGTGCCAGATTTCTAATGCTGCAACAGACTTTTTAATATGGTTTTATTGACCAGATCTCATTTCGTTGTTAATTTATCTCTATATCAAAATAATTGGTGAACTGCCAAATATAGATTAGCCTGATTTAACATGAAACCACAATATCTTGTAATATATATGAAAATTGCACAAACTATGTAAAAAGGGGGGCGTGTCCTGACTGCCGATGTGAACAGATGTGCTGCAACGAAGCTCCCCAAAGCGGATAATAACGAGCCGGGATAACACGGTCGAGAAACCCTCAATGGGAAACAAAAAGAGACTGTCCACCATAGCACACACTCCGGACCCGGGACGGGGTAAAAAATCCGGAGATTTAGACCGATACTTCAGGGACACGGTCAATATATTAGGCGCGGAGCAGGAAGAGTGCCGGATGCCATCTTTATCACGCGGCTCACACTCCAGCAGCCCGTCTAGATCAGAGCATGCTGCTGAGGCAGGCATGGCAGAAATAAAAGAAATCCTCCAGAATTTGCCATCGAAAGCAGAGTTAGCTATAATGCTGACGAAATTAGAATCTTCTGTGCAAGAACAACTCTCCACACTTACCTCGGAAATCAAACAGATTAGTAATAGAGTGGGGGATCTGGAGGACGACCACGAGCAAATTATGGATAGGCTGCTACACTTGGAACAGAGCCAGGAGAGGAATGAGGCCAAATTACTATATAACATAAAGCTGGCTGAGGATCTCGACAATAAAGGCCGCAGAAATAATATCAGAGTGCGCAGCCTACCGGAGGCGCAAGGAACGGGCGAGGACCTCCACATGATACTGCAAACTCTTTTCAACAGAATACTACAGAGGCCTGAAAATACCCATATCGTCATAGATAGGGCCCACAGAGCGCTCAAGCCTAGGGGTCTAGCACCAGAAACCCCCAGGGACGTGATATGCAGAGTGCACTACTTTTCGGAGAAGGAGGAAATTATGCGCACCGCGAGAGAAACCACAGAAATTCTGTTCAACAATACGAAAATACTATTACTCCCTGATCTTTCCTGGTTAACGCTTAGAGGCCGGGGGGCCTTGAGACCGGTCACACAAGCCCTGCAACAGGCGGGAATCAAGTACAGGTGGGGTTATCCATTCTCCCTCACCGTTAATCACCAAGGGAACCAGATCTCCCTGACGACGGCAGCAGAACTCCCAGAATTCACTAAACGCCTAGGCATCCCGACGATGGAAATAAAAGACTGGTATGAAGTTGGGAGCCAAGGGAACCAACCTCCGCCTAGCCGACTATTGCAAAGCCGAACTCAAGACCCAAGAAGGACACTGACGAAGAGAACGCCGACGGATTCGCTCCAGCAGAGATCTCAACGCCTACCAGGCACTCCAAAAAGGAACAGATGAGACGGGTCACAATCTCCACACAACGTAAGGTGGAATGGACTTAGAGACTATCACATCACCCGCTATTCCCATACCATACTTAATTTGGCACGGTAAATATTTCCGATTGTTATATTTTCTTTATACACATGAGATCAGTATGACGAGGGGGATAAGCTAGTAACACACAAGAGCTTGCCTCCTTATTTAGCACCTCATGCCACCCAAGAAACACAAACTAAAAGGCACAGGACCCGGAGGTTTGCCGGGTGGAGACACCCAGGCGGGACTCTGGGGGATAGCTAGACACACCATTAGGAAATTAGGAGACCTAATGCGACCGTCTTCTTTAAGAGGCGGAACTTAAAAATCACCACAATAGGACAACATAAAGTCCTCATGCTGATCCCATTCTGTCATCCCGGGCTAATCATTCACAACAGTTGATTGGCCGCGGAGGGGGTGCGATGTTCACACTCAGGGTAAGTTATCTAATTACCACCCTCTGAGGGCGGAGAGCTACAGACAGTGCGAGAAGCAGAGCGCAATTTGCGCCTCGCTCTTACTGACGACACACAAACCCCCATTGTTGTGGGACCATTTACGGTCCAGAGCGGTACACATCACAGTAACTGGCTATTGGTTTCCATTATTGTCAGTTCTTAATACTTCCCGGACCCAGTTAGTATAACTCGGAAAGCTCAGGGTTGAGTACCAACTCCTTACTAGAGGTCACCAAGCGCACTAAGAAAAGCCCACAAATCTACTTTCATAAGAGAGGGTTAACATTTCAAAAAAAAACAAAAAACCTGTACTGACGACACCCTCAACCACGCAAGTGACCTCTACCATAGAGACAATATCGTTGTTAAACCACATTACAAGTCCTATTAGTCTCTCAGTGATTGAGACTAGTGAATATTGATTATATTCTCATTGTTCGATTACATTTCATTGTATATAGTTAAAACTTCAAGATTATTCGTTCAGGTGCAATCAAACCACTGAGCTCAGGGGCTATTTAGCTGGTCAAGCACATTACCCCAAAACTCTCTCATCGCCCCAAGACTAGACATTGGTTTAGGGGTACAGCCTATGAGGATACCCCTGTGTTCTGCCTATTCCCAGAATTACGGATAACTAGACCCCATCATGGGTAAACTCCAAATACTATCACAAAATGCTAGGGGCCTAAACTCCCCAGAGAAACGAAGGATGGTGCTCAAGGATCTAGCGGCATCAGGGGCAGACATAATTTTCCTGCAGGAGACTCATCTTAGGGGCACGACGGCACCCTCCCTTAGACACCCTAGATTTACACACATCTACTACAACTTTAGTAAAAGCAAATCTAGGGGGGTAGCGATATTGATCAAATCCGGGGTCCCATTCACCTACATCAACCACATAGCAGATAACTCAGGACGGTACCTGATAGTGCAGGGTCAAGTGGGCACGTCACCAATCACCCTAGTGGGGATATATCTCCCGAACAAGCACCAATGTGGCACTTTCCAGAGAATATTAGCTAAAATCCAGCGAAACGCACAAGGCACACTGATAATTGAGGGCGACTTCAACATTTCCCTAGATTCAGCTAGGGATAGCACTTCACTCAAAACTAAACACATGGAACCGGCCCGACATCAAATGCAACATATTCTGCACACGAACCAACTAGTAGACTGCTGGAGGGCCCTACACCCAACCACGAAGGATTTCACACATTACTCAGTCCCAAATAACACGTACTCACGTATAGACTTTTTCCTAACTACACATAGAGATCTGGGTTTCGTAACGGATGCAACCATAGGAAATGCAACCTAGTCTGATCACACCCCAATAACTATTTCACTTGATCTCCCCTCATTCCCCCGCCCTAAAGGGCAGTGGAAGCTAAACCAACACCTGCTTCAATCACACCAAATCAAGCAAGCCGTAAAAGCATCCATCACACAATATTTCAAGGAGAATAAAACCCCCGACACGACAGCTTTTACACAATGGGAAGCACACAAAGCAGTAATGCTGGGGGAACTCATAAAATGGGGGGCGCAGACCAAGAAAAACAAATATAAAAGGATCACAGAGCTCTTAGGAGAAATTAGTTCTCTTGAGGAAGCTCACAAACACAACCTTTCAGACCCAATATTACTGCTCTCTTATTGCATTACGAAAGGAACTACACTCCATCCTCCTAGACAATGCTAAAAAAGCTATACTTTGGACTAATCACCTATACGTCGCACAAGGCAATAGAAGTGGCAAACTTCTGGCCCATGCTCTGAAACACAAACAAGCCCAGACTTATATCCCTAGGATAAAATGCCCCAACAACACAGTAGCATCCACTACGGAGGACATAGCGGAGGCTTTCAGGGATTATTACACGTCCTTATATAATTTAAGAAGTACAGCCCCGACCACCGAAGACATCACAACATATTTGGCAGACAAATTTGACACCACCCTAATGGCAGCGGCCACAAGATCATTGGAGGAGCCATTCTCCTTAGATGAACTAAAGTTGGCCATCAAACAAACCCCAGGGAACAAAAGTCCAGGCCCAAACGGATTCTCCATGGTTTATTATAAGACCTTTCAAAAGGATCTGATGGATCCTTTCTTAGAAGCAATTAATTATATTCCTCTGGGACACTCTATACCCACACAAGCATTAGAGGCATCCATCACACTCTTGCCCAAACCCGGGAAAGACCCGGAGAAATGTGCGAGTTATAGACCAATTTCCCTTATCAACGTAGACATTAAAATCTTCACCAAAATGATGGCATCGAGACTGCGGCCCTTCTTGACAGACCTAGTCCACCCTGATCAGGCAGGCTTCGTTCCAGCGAGAGAGGCGAAGGACAATACGACCAAAACGATCAATCTGATACATGCAGCCTTGAAAACCAAGAAGCCCCCTCTCATGCTGGCAATAGACGCGGAGAAGGCGTTTGACAGGGTGGACTGGTCTTTTCTTATGCTAACCCTGACAGCTTTGGGCTTTGGAGATAGGTGGCTAATCTGGATTAAAGCCATATACTCAACACCTACGGTGCGGCTAAAAGTGAACGGGCAGCTATCGAAGCCTTTCCAAATAAGCAACGGTATGCGCCAGGGCTGCCCTTTATCCCCCCTCCTATTTATTTGATCGTTAGAACCTCTATTACAAGAGGTCCATAGGAGAGTAGACATAAGAGGCATTAAAGTAGGGACCAAAGACTATAAAGTGTCTGCCTTTGCGGATGATTTACTATTTACCATAACACACCCTACATCCAGTCTGCCTATTCTTATGGAAGTCCTCGACAGATATAGTGACTTCTCCAACTTCAAAATAAACACAGAAAAATGCGAGATCCTAAATATTAATGTCCCTAAGGACCAAGTCACCCGCATACGGGACGCATACCCATTCCTCTGGGCTAATAATTCCATTACATATCTGGGGGTGCAATTAACGAATTCATACCACACACTCTACTTCGCGAACTTCCCACAACTACTCACCGCAATAAGATCAGATCTAGCAAAGTGGGATAAACCACACTTTAGGTGGATGGGCCGTATCAACATCATTACAAATGATGATCCTACCACGTATACTATACTTACTCAACACACTACCAATTCATATCCCTTCAAAGTTTTATAGACAGATACAAACGATGATTACCTCTTTTATATGGGCTAAGAAAAGGCCTAGGATAGCCTACAATATCCTGACCAAAAATAGAGAAAGGATAGGATGCCCGCACATTCTCCAGTACTACAAAGCAATACACCTAGGGCGCATAATAGAGTGGTCGAGACCAGATGGGAAGAAGATGTGGGTCGAGATAGAACAAGATCAAATAGACACTCCATTGCAAGCTCTCCCCTGGTCAACTCATACCACCAACATTAAAATCCTGAACAATTACCACCACACTACAAATCTGGAAGTCAATCAATCAAGGCTCGGAATTTACTCCGACCACATCTCCCAAGTACCCCATATCGCATAACCCATTACTACGGACGAACCTGGAAAGCCTCGGGAAGGCCCCAGGGACGTCTCTGACGAAAGACCACTATTAAACATTAGGTGAGGTTATAGGACCTCAGGGACTAAGACCTCTACAGGATCTTGCGAGATCCAAAAACCAAACCATGTTGCAAACATTCCAATACTATCAACTCAAACATTTCTTAAGCAAAGAACAACTATTAAATTGGACACCTAGAGTTGAAACGTCTTTTGAAGCCTTATGCACAAAACCAATAACTAAGAAAATCATATCGAAATGTTATCAACTAATCCAGGCTTCAGAGAACGCGGGCCTCCCATGGTTCACAAGAGCCGCATTTGGACGGCTCTCTACACCACTGGAGGAATCCCAATGGTCGACCATATTCCAAAAAATGCTGAAAACCCACCTGAATATACCAATGCAAGAGGCTAACTATAAATTCCTCACGAAATGATATATCACACCTGTAGAGGCAAATAAATATAAACCACAGCACTCCCCCATATGCTGGAGATGTGGGCTAGAACGGGGAACATACCAACATATTTGGTGGGAGTGCAGAGGAGTGGTGGGATTCTGGAAGGAAGTCGCGAGAATCACGGAACACCTTAGCGGGATACCCATAGCATTCACACCCGAGGCATTACTTTACTTCCACATACCCATCTCCCACGCCAAATTTAAAAAGTCGATACTATATTTTCTACTGACAACAGCGAAGACAGTAATAGCGGGGCACTGGAAATCTCAAATAAACCTTCACGCAGGGAATGGTTCCTCAAGATAGATTATATTCATAAGATGGAGGAACTCAGAATGTCCACATCAGGCAAGCAACATTGGTTCAGCACGATATGGAGTTCCTGGGAATTATTTACACAGGGAAAGGAAGGCTGGGGGACACCAACACCTCACTAAGAACTTCAATTGACCCAGGGAATACTAGGGGCCAACTAGATCTTAAGACTCCATATACAAACGATCCACCAAAAAACTCGCGAGTGTATCCACAGATCCTCAAGAATGAGCGGTCCTTAAACAGAGCGGGGGGAGAAGAGAGGTGGGGACAATCCACTTAAGTCCTGAAGGATTGGGAACAGATCTCACAAGATAAGGGGGGAAAAGTCTCACAGGGGCCTAGTTGACCAGGAGAGTTACCACCCTTTGGGGGAGTTTTTGGGACCGGAACATCGAGGATGGTAGGAACCTGTCTCCAGGGTACCTTTAGGGTACATTGGCATTATAGGAGGCTTAACTATAAAATTTGCTCACCCAGGAAGTGGGAGGGGACACCACTAGGGGAAATGCTACTTGATCCTCATAGGCGGTACAGTGAATACATATGACACTGCTCCGCGACGGACCAGCTAAAAACCGAACACTCTGACCTTTAGATTGCACAGCCTGCCTGTTATTGGTTTTGTTGGTATTTGTTGTACTAATTCAATGTGGATATATTTATGTGAAATACTGATGTATCTAATTCAAATTGGATTTATGTGGAAATGTGTTCATGCTATACGCTCTCAGAAGAAAAGCAATAAAAATAAAATAAATTCAAAAATAAATTAAAATACTATGTAAAAAGGACATATTTACGTTATTGTTTTAAATCAGGGTTATTACACATTTTAAAGATTGTGAAGAACAAAAGGGATAAATTTAATACAGAAGCTGTAAAAACCAACAGAAGCATATGATATTCTGAAATTACAATTTTCCACGAGGCAAAATCAAAGATTTCTTGTTTAGCTGGGACTGACCAGCAGCGACTGGTGAAGTTTTAAGATGGCAGAGCACCAGACTCCTCCCCCAGAATTTTACTTCTCCCTGTACAGTACAGATATACTCATACTATACAGATAGCTGAACATAATACAGAGATACTCATACAATAAAACAAGCTGGGCACAACATAAAGATATCTATAAAATACATAGAGCTGAGTACAATACAGAGACATCCATACCACAAACATAGATGGGGAATAAATACAGCTATAATAAACAGAGCTGGGCACAATACAAAGATACATATACAATAGACAGAGCTGGGTAGACTACAGAAATTCCATACAACAGGTAAAGCTGAGTAAAATACAGAGAAATAACACACAGAGCCGGGCAAGATAAGGAGATAAGATAACTATCCCAAACAGCCAGGATCACTGTGAGGAATTACACAGAGCTGCAATACAATACATGTCTACATATAATGTTCCAGTTCTCTATCTTCCTAGCCCCCTCTTAGATCTTCCTTACATGATCTCATCTCCAGTAGTGCTCCTGCTATGATAACTGTAGCTTAAATATTGCTGCTGTTGTGAAACATATCAGCTACCCCATAAGCTCTCAGTGTGGTGCACATAGTTAAAGCATCAAAATACTGATAGACTCCAACCAAGTCAGCTACTCCTGGCTCACTATTATCTCTCAGCACACAGTGTACCCAGGGTTAAAGCAGCAGGATACTGATAGACTCCAATATAATTAATCCGCAGTGGTAATATGGGGTCAATAAGGAGCTGACATGGTTAACTAAATCAACAATTATTACAGATTAAAAGAGATTGAAATCAGAATCAGACATCAGATCAGTCCTCAGAGTCACAGCCCCAGTCCTGCAGTTTAAATCTTCACAACTTCACAATGATTGTCTCAGGCCTCCGCTGTTGAGTGACTGAGCACTTTAAAAAATATGGTGGGTATGTGCAGTAGGAGTTCTTAAAACTATTAATGACAGGTGGCACAGTGCTGTGTGTAAGATATGTACCGCTCCCCTTGTCATCTCAGGGGACTGCAGGCATTATTACCCATTCAACGAGTGTTTACGTTGTGTAATGTAATTTGTGCTTCAGAAGAATGAAACTGATTTTATTTTTGACATGGGTAAAGCTGAACAAGTGCCCATGGCATCCCTTTGTAAAAGTTATCTAATGATATACAATTATTATGGGTCTGTCCTGGATATTGGTCTGTTTTTACAATATATAATGTATTATATCCGTAAAATAGCAGAAAAGTTTTTTTGAAATTTATTTAAACTGAATTTGATTTTAGCAAAATCACACAGAACAGAGTAAATATTAAGTGGAACCTGTAGCAATTTAAAAATTAAATATAAGACCTACACTCCCTTGATGACACAAGCATTCTGTGAACTTAATGTATATTTCTCACCTTTTTTCTTTTTAGACGTTTTTACGTTCCAACCTCCCGCAATGTACTGGAAAATCATCACTGAAGCCTGGTTTAGCGTTTGACAATTTGGGCTTTCAGGCTAGCATAGATGATGTTTCCTCTTCATCCTCTAACATAAGCTCTGTTGTAGTGGATATTATAGGTATGACCTGCCAATCATGTGTCCAATCCATTGAGGGTAAGATTTCGAAGATACCAAGTATTGTGAACATAAAGGTTTGCTTGGAACAAAACAATGCCGTCGTAATTTATAAACCTGCAGTAATAACACCACAACAAATCTGTGAAGAAATAGAAGATATGGGTTTCGATGCCACTATATCCGACGTTAAAGAAGTTTTGCTGGCTATAAAACCTGGGAATTATATAGAGGAAACAGTCAAGATC